GCTACAGCGGAGAAAAGAGTTTGTGTGAACTTTAATGTAAGGACTTAAATATTCATATGTAGCTCACAATAAGCTATCGTATGGCTTCAGAAGTAACAGAATAATTCGCACAATCGGGGAAAAAAAAAAAATCTCAGATTTGGATCGGCCCTCTCTGACCGATACCCGATCCGAGAAAAATGCCACTATGGGAGCCGATACCAGATATGAATATCGGATCGGCGCATCCCTACTTCATAGCGTGTTTTTGCGTTTTCAAGTGGATGAGGTTTTTTATTTTTATTTTTTTAAAATGGAGGAAAAACTACCTGTGTACATGTGGACTAGGCCTAAAACATGTTCAGGCAAGGCAAGTTTATTTGTATAGCACATTTCATACACAATGGTAATTATGTGGGAAGTGTGTCAAGATAGCATGTTGACGATTTAAGGTGCTGTACTATTTCTTCCAAAGTTTTGCTATCAATTTCTTCAAAAGCAGACATTTGATCCCATCAGTTCAGGATCAAAAAGGAATTCATAGGATCATAATTCTTAAGGCACTATTCAAAGGCTAGAATCTTTGAATCTGTATCTTTGAATATCAGTGTCACACAGACAGGGCATAATCTTGTGTCATCTGACAAAATGGTAAACATTTGACATTCAAATGATATGTAGAATGTAATATGACTAATAATCTGATCTGATCTTTTATCCATTTAGCATGTTGGTTCATGTCTGAATTCTCATTTAAGTGCACACACTGCATTTGGAGATGTACATGCTCTGAATTCTTTTTTGTTTCTAATGAACTATGCTTTTCTGCTTTTAGCTACTTCTCGAAAAACAAAGATCAACTGCCTTGCCTTCAGTACTTTTAACATGACAGTTCTTCAATAAAAGCATTATGTTGGATAAATAGTATTAAATTGTATCATTGTTTAATTTGGTTCACAAAAATGATTTGTAAGGGGGAAAAATGGTCCAGAGTACTATTTCCTATTGCAGTGTGTGAATCATCAACTGTTGGGCCTTTCCTAAAACTAGCTTATAGAATTAAAGGGAAAGTCTTTGAAATTTAAAAACATTATTAACATTAGTATAACAGTTCTAATTAGATAATACCAGACCCCACTAATCTCTTTTGTTTTTTACCCACTGTGCAGCTTGAGGAATGCAAATGGTTTGACTGCAGCAGATCTGGCCCATGCTCAAGGCTTCCATGATTGTGCTCAGCTCCTCTCTAATGCTCACAACCAGCTAAATCAGATAAATGGATTTGCCCATAATGGGACCGACCATTCGCACATCCAGGGCCACAGTCTTCTGAATGGGATAGCCAATAGAAAAATATTTCTTGATTGCAGAGAGCCAAACCACATGAAGAAAGCAAGAACTGAGCGTAAGTCAGTTTTGTAGTGCATTTAATCATTGTGTTTGTGCACAAAATCAACACAAAATCAAGGAAAAAGGATTTTTCTGACTATATTGCATGCGTTCCATTCAGGCATGAATTTTTCAGCGAAGACAAACAGTGGGATTGGAGAGGAGCTTGAGAGTATGAATGTGGAATCAACTGCTGAAAACCAGTCAGGTGGGACTGGACCTTCTCCACCAATGTCTATTGACCTTGAACATCATGAGGACAGTGTTCCTTTGAGGAACCCCTCTCCCACCCAAAAAATGCTGGAGCCCACATCTATGACTTCTGTTCCTGGCCCCTGGCTATGGACAAACTCTTATGCTTATTTATGAGGGCCAAGCCATCAACAAGTTTCCCCAGGTTTATCAACAAGCTGTCAATGCAAATTATTTGGCTAGTATATTTGTATTGGATTTTTTTCAGGCTGCTGAAATATCTGCAATCTAAAAGTAGTTGGGGTGAGATGTAAATTTTTTCAGAAGCTGACATTTATTTTCAAAGTATGCACACAATTGACTTAAATAACAGACTTTACCAGTACTTGCAAAGACACACCAGCTAAAATAATACAGAAATACATGTACAGAGTTGCTAGTTTTCTTGGCTTTATTTCCGTGAACTTTTGCCATATTATCTGTATATGGTCATTCTGAATCAGTTTAGTAAAAGTAGCTTATTGTTAGCTTAATATTGTACAGTATGCTTGTCTGTAATAGTTATATTTTCTGAATCTCCCAGCAATATATTTCACAATGAAAGCATCAACTGATTTTAGGATATTTCATTTCATGTCCTATTTACAAATTAATGAATGCATTGGTCAACATTTTACTAAGTAATTGTGCTTCCATCCTGTTTATATGAACTATTTTAAAGATATTTAAATATTTCACGTGTAATCTGCTTGTTTATTTGAAACACTGAAGCATCTTTTAGGTTATTTGATGGAGTTTATGGTTTCTCTGAGTAAAAAAAAAAATTCTTACTGCTGACTTTTGCAGTTAGGTGTTAAAACTCTCACTTGTGACCATTTGAAAGAGTACAGTGTGTGTGTGTTGACTTGTAATAATATTGTTGATCAAAAACAAGATGACATATTGTACACTTGAAATATGAAAAGCAAAAAAGTGCTCATATGGAAAATGAAATGCAGTTTGTCGCTTGTCTTGTTTTGAATGACAGATGAAGCCATAGCCACAGGTTTGAGGAATGGTCATGGGCAGCAGAACAGTTTCACTGTCAACAGCTTCGTCACAAATGGGCAGTGCTATCAGTCCCAATTCAATGGGGTCGAGACCATTCCAGATGAGTCAAGAATGGACATGTGTGGCTCACTGCACCTCAATGGTAGCCCAAGCAGCTGTGTATCTCACCGGCCTGCATGGGGTGCGTTCCTGCCTGAATCCGGGGAACATCTGCGCTATGGACACTACCATGGCTTTGGAGACACGGCAGAGGACCTGGAAGATGCTAGCAGCTGTCGGGAGCACAGCACGATCGTGAAGGTAGAGCAGCACTACGACCAAGAGGTTCTCAGTGCCGTGCAGCTGTTCCATGGATCATAAAGTGAAAATGATATCCGTACATTTGATTACAAGTGGTCACATTGATGGCAGCACTATACGCTTTAAACTGAGGGGCTATCTAGCACCTTAACGCAGGCTGTTTTGTTTTTGGATTTTTTTTTGATAAAGGGGACAGTCTTTCTACCAAAGGGGAGAAATTGTATTGCATTTTGTATCTGAGCTAATGACTTAATTTTATTATATGTATGTGTTTGAACTCAGCCTCGATATCTGGATGCATTTCTTTTTTTTCCCTTTAATGCAACGTTAGAATGTTAAGTTGTACAAGAAGTTGATTTTTATCTGGATTGAGTTTGTATTTTTGTGCCAATGAATACTAGCTTTTTGAGAAAGACTTTTGTATATGATTGTTTTGTTGTATTTGTTTTTTTTCCTGAGAAGCAAAGCTGACATGCTGACTGTAAAACAGTGTTTTGTTTTTTGTTTTCTGGAAAAAAAAGCTTGTGTAACTCTGTAACAATCTTCTGTAAAAGATGTGTAACATTCCTTTATCTTTGTACCGTTTGTTCTAAAAAAAAAATCTAACTCAAAAGAAGCTCCTTTCATTGCCACCTGAAGACCATTCTGCTATATAATATAGTCAGTTCTTATTGTGAATTAAAGATGGATTTATTTTGAAAGTAAAAGCATACGTTTCTCACTTTTTCTTACATCTACTTCAGTGCATTTTGGCTTTGACCCTCAATTCATCCCTGACATACATTTTATATGTAATGCACTCAGAAAAAGAGGCATTTTTCTTCTTGGTAGTGTTTAATAGGTGAAAGCCAGTTAAACTTTTT